CGCGCCCCCGGGGAGGAGCCCGCGTGCTCGGTACCTGAGCTCGGGATCGCGCGGCAGCGGCGCGGAGAGGGGGAGGGAGGGATGAGGCGGGGACGCGCACGGGGAGGGCTGGGGCGCGCAGGCCTGCACGCGCCAAGGAGGATCCCAGCCAGCGCCAGTAGTGGGGGTAAGGGGAGGGCGAGGGCGGAGGAAGACGCCACGGCCAATGGGAAGCTGGCGCGCCTGCACCTGTCGGGCACGAGCCGCCAGGCAGCGGCACGCGCGGGTGGGGGGGAGGGGGAATACACACATGTGCGCGTGCACATACACAGGCACACGCACGCGCACACACGTCCAGATCTGCACCCCGATCCTTCACCGATGGCCTCCAGTGCCCTGTGCGCACCACCATAGGCTGAGATGGCGAAGGTGGCGGTAGGCAGAGGGATCCCACCCAGGACCATCACCGACCGCAGGGTTAACTTGAATGGGGCGGAGTGAGCACGTTGCTTGCTAAAATCTCAAGTTTCTGGTGACGCCGGAGCACCTTCGCAGGCTCTGCGCGTCTCCTAGAGCCGAGAGGGCGACTCGTGGAGACTGGGTCTCTGTTCCCCGTCCTTCTTGGCTACCTGGGAGAGGCACACATCCCTCTGAGCTTTCTCTTGAGAGGCTCTCTCCCAGTGAGGCAAGTAACGAGCCACAGTGAGGCGATGGGTGCTAATGCAGAAAGCTGGGTATCACCTTCTGAGAGGCTTATGGCCCGAGCGTTAAGAACCCAAAAGGATCAGAGGTCCCAGGAAACAGAGTTCCTTTGGTCAGCTGTCCCTTTCTGGTGCCCTAAGTTCAGCCTGCTGTGAGCCCTGCTCTCTCAACCCATTCCTGCCTTTGCTCTTCGTCAGCAAGCTAGGCCTCCCTCTGTGGGCTGGACTCGGAAGGCCCAGGCTCCAGCCTTGGTGATTAAGGGGTGTGATCTAATGAGGTGGTGCCGGCAGGCAGTATTTTCGAACAACTGGCACTCCATTATTCTGTAGCAATTTGTGGATATGAAAAACCATGTTGCTGATACAGCCACCAAATCATCCCGTCCTTCTATCGACTTTCCCAAAATCTCACATACTGAAGGTAGTTGGGAAATTACAGCTTTTACTGTGCCGGCTCTTACTGCGAGTAATTTTAACAAATTCTTGTAGGAGAAATTAGCTTTTAGTAGATAAATCGAGTTCAATGTTTTTTTTTTCGATTTGTAAAATTGAGATGTCAGCTTTGCACAGAGTAAGTTTAACATTTTTTGCTATTACAAATGCATTCTACTAACGCATGTACTATGAGGCCCCAAAGCATTACTTGGGTATTTTCCCATGTTTCCAAGGTCCTGAGATTCCTTGTTGCAAATTGAATATTTATTCCAGTTTATTCTCAGTAAAATGTCTACCCTTTTTAAATAGCTGTCAAATCCACAGGGCTCAAAACTGTTGTCTGACCGTGCAACAACCATTTCTGAACTCTTCCCCATAGCAGCAACAGTCGGTTTATACAGAATGCCGGGGCCAACATGAACATCAAAGTTCATCAGGCCCAAACATGGGATCTGTGCTTCACTCTCCCTTCTGACATAGTGGTGTGCAGCCAGGGCTTCAACTCAACAGTAGTTCTTGTGTGAGACCCAGGGCTCCACCCCCAGTACCATAAAAATTAAATTATTTGTGAACAAAGTCATGTGCCCTCACCCAGTACTTAAGGAAGCCTGTTGTATTTGCCCATAGCCCTCAGAAAAGCTTTCCTTATGTGGGCTTGCTCTCCTTTAGTCTCTATTGCTGTGATAAAACACTTACCCAAAGCAATGTGGAGGTGAAAGGTTTACTTGGCTTACAAGTTACAGCCCATCATTGAGGAAGTTCGGGGCAGGAAGCAGAAGTGGAGACCATGGAGGAAGGCTGCTTGCTTACCAACTTTACCTCCCATGGCTTGCTCAGCTGGCTCACTTATTACAGCTCAGGCCGGCCAGCCCGGGAATGATACCCACCCCACCCCCCCCCCACCCCCCGACACACAGACAGTAGGCTGGGCCCTCCTGTATCGATCAGCATTGAAGAAAACATCTCCACAGACATGACCACATGGAGGCAATTACTCAGTTGAGAGACCCTCTTCTCAGGTATGTCTAGGTTCATGTCGAGTTGACGAAAGTATGACAGAACCGACATCTACCCTTCCTGAAACTTTGCCCATGCTCTGTCTCTCCTTTCTGGGCCCGTGCAGTCAAGTCAAATTCTCCTGCTTTAAGACAGCCCTTCTAGGGCTCGAGAGATGACTCAGTGATCAAGACCTCTTGCTGTGCTTGCAGATGAGGCGGGTTCCCAGCACCCATGTGGTGGCTCACAGCCATCTGTACTCCAGTTCTAGGGAATCTGATGTCTTTGCCCTCTTCTAATCTCCACGGGCATCAGGTGTGCATGTGCTACACACACACACACACACACACACACACACACACACAGGCAAAACATTTATGAATATAAATTTAACAAAATGAGAGACTGCATTTCATCCAATTGGAGGTAGTCTCATGCTCCCTTGCCTTTTCCTTCTTGGGTTACATGTAATCACTTCCCTTATGGAACAGTTCACAGGCTCTTCACTAGCTTCTGGTCAATGCCCACTTACCTCCAGCACTGAGAGTTTGGAAAAGGAGGCATGTGATCACTCTGGGCTCTCACAGTGTAAGACAGGACTGGACGCTCCTACTGTTCTGATTCACACAGGGGAAGCTTTCGGGGGTGGCTACGGCATAGCATTTTGTCAGCTTCCTATATTATCTCATGTTCTATTTTTTCCGTAGTTGCCATAAAATACCATGGTCTTGGGGGCTTACACAACAGGAATTCAACTTTCCCCAGTTCTGGGTGCTGGAAATCCAGAGTGAAAGTGTTGGTCTGGGTGAAGGCCTTCTGTGTGTTCCTCTGTGGCATCTAGGACAATCCTACTGGCCTCATTTTAAACTTAATTACCATTTAAAGACCTTTCTCCAAATAACAGTCATATTTGGAGGCACTGGACTCTAAAATATAAGCCATCTTGAATATAATTGGATATGAGCTTCCTCCAGAAAAGAAACTAGGGAAAGATGGAATGCAGGAGGTGGCATGACTCACTTCCTACGAAGTGATGGGAAACTTACCTCCTCTGTCTTTCTCACTCCTACAGGAGCTCACTACCAAACTGCAAAGAAAAGCAAAAGCCTCCTGACATACTCCAAAGACTTCTTGGAGTATGAGACAGACACAGAAGTAGTTGTGAAATTCAGGGAAACTCCATCCTCTAGTTTCTGCTGCTATAACTAAATGCCACAGCCAGGTAATTGATAAGTACTGGAGGCCAAGTAGTTCAAAGAAGAGAATTGCTTCTGGGAAGGGCCTTCTCGCTACATTATAGCATGGCAGAAGATACCAAGTGGCCAGAAAGAAATACACCTTTGAGAGAGACAGAGAGAGAAAGAGAGGGGGAGAAAACAGAAAGACTGACAACTGGCCTTCATCCTTCTATCGGAAACTCATTCCTTGGTAAGCAGCTCACTCCCTGAGTAACACAAGTCCATCCATAAAGACGGAACCCTCCTGACCCAACCAACTTCCATCAGCCTCTGCTTCACACGCTGTGGTACCTGTGTATTAAATTTTCGACATATGGGCCTTAAGGAAGACACTATTTGAAAACTAAAGACTGAAGCCAAGTAATGATCTTTTCTCTTCTCCTTGGGTTTCTTGAATTATGAACATCCAGGAAGCGCCCAGTCAACTTACTGATCCCAGAACATGCAGAGCGTGAGGCCGGGATCGCACTGAATACTGGGTTTCCTTGAAGATCTAACATTCTTCAAAGCTTGTTGTTCATCCAGGCCATCATCCCTAGAGGGACAGCCTGGTGTGTGAGCAGGCAGGTTTCAGGGACTGCAGAGGTAAATCAAGCTGCTCAAGTAGGTACATGGTGTCCTCACCTCCTCCATCCCTACAAAGTGTACTTGGTGAGTGGGCACCTGGTATATTTTAGTCATCATGCTAGGTACAGAGACTACAAAAACAAAAACATGAAATATTCAACAAGTTCATAGTCTGTGGGGAAGTTTAAAAATAGATCAACTATGACAGCAGCAATAGCAAAGATACAAATGACCCAGAATGGGATCTTGGAGGCGATCTCAATGTGTGAGTACAGACATCTGTGTGTCTGTGTGGGTTTGAGGAGAATGAAGGGGATCAAATGGTTCAACAAGTTTCCAGGGAGATGGAACAGCTCAGGCAGTGACTAGGAGGGAAAGGCTAGGGATAGAGACCAAAGACAGAGTTTACAATGGAAGTAGGGACATGCCAAAAGGCACAATGTCTGAGACACACCTAAGGCCATGCCGAGAGGAGCCCGGAAAGTCTCACAGGCAAGCTTAACTTTGGTCTGAAGACAAAGAAACAAGACTAGGAAGGCATGGACACACTCTAGAGAGATCTCCATTCCTCCTTGACTCACAGACCCATGGAAAGTTGCTCAAGATCACTGATACATTGGAGAATGCCAACTAAAGAAACACCTGATGCCTACCTCACTCCCCGTGGG